CCAAGAAGCAAGGCTGAAAGAGATTGCGTAGTGGGTTGTCCGGCCGGCCCAGTTCAATGTAAACCATGAAATGTGGGCAGGTAGACTACCTCCAACTTCATTCTTAAGGAAAGATTAAAGGTCAGCTCTGGAAAAAAGCAGACTATCGTGGAAGTGGTAAATTGTGGATAGCCTTGCTATACGCTAGATTTGTCTGCTTATAGAGAAGGCCGTCATTACATTTCGGAAAATGGTTGCATTTTCTGATTCCACTCAAAGGTTAAGGACCCAGTTTACATACGACAGAGACGTGGTTTCTGAGACTTCTGTATAGGGCGAGCCTGTGACCTCCAAGTGGCACAGGGACACTGTCGGGTCGTAAAACCGCTTAGATAGGGTGTAATAGATGCCTCGAAACCTTCTTAGCCGACGTACACACCTGAAGGTGGACAAGTTTGGTGTCATTGCGTACAACTGGCTACAGCAAGCTCTTTGCGTGCAAGATATGTGTTCCGGTGCGGATGGTGCAACCCCTACAGCATCTACGACGCCGTAAAACGACGGACAGCTTCATGGGATTTGTGAAAGGCAGTCGGATCACATAGGCTCTCCTTCTACTCATATTAAGTTTGAAATACCTCAATGAAGCCTATCGTTAGTCTCTCCCTTTCGTCTCGCAGAAGGAGTACTTAGCAGCAGCCAGAGTAGTACAAAATACACTATTCAACATCGGTTGCTACTATCGATCGTTACGTTCCTGTAAATATACCACATCTATTCAACTTTTCAGAGCTAGAACTTTGTGCGACTGAAGGAAACAAAATTGCAATGGAGCGGTCAATTACACAATAGATTGATATAGCCTGTCGATGTATCGGCCAACATCCCCACAGCGAGATATCCCCACCGGGTCAGTGCGTTAGCACTAGGAGTTTTATATTTCCGGTGAATTACACCCGTTGCGCACGCCCCACCGCTCTGAAGAGCGTTTCCATTGTCGGGTCTTGTCCGTTGTAGTTCTTCGAGACCAGTTAAGAAGGGAAGAGGGAGCAAAGTGCCGCTAAAAAGAAAACGATGAAACTCACACTTACCTTTGCTAACAATCACAATCAAAACTATAGGCCCTTAAAAATGGAATTCCTCCGAGGTTGCTTACCCTAAGAAGTTGGTAATCTGGCAAAATTGATGTTATGTGCATACTATGTCTATAATTGCGCGAAATGTTTATCTAAGATTTGAGAGAAAATTATGCCTTTGCAATTTGCATACGTAGGTGTAGAGTAGCATGGGAATTGTATAATCTCTAGTTTTACCTTCCACTGTTGTTGAGTCTGCAGTGTGAAGCAAATCATGACACTTCTTCTTCGTTTGAACTGAAGCGAATATTCACATCTCGAAAATGCCCGAAATATGAACCGACTGTCATAGTGGTGAAGAAATTGCGTTCCGAGTGTTCGAGCAAATATGTTAGAGTTCAGTCGAAACTTTTGGTAAACAAAAATAGTAACGTAGAGCGAGAGGACGAAGATTCCTCCCTTTCTCGAACTCCTTATAATAATTCCCACTGTTGTTGAGATGCTAGGTCTTGAGTCTCTCCTCTGTAAAAGAAAGAAGTTTGATTTGGTAATAGTTCACAAAATCATCACGGGAAAGTTGTGCTTGAGTAGTAAGAGCTCGTTCCTTCCTGTTCCGTCCCACACCAGAGGAGGTATGTTTAAACCTTTCCTCCCTAAAACCAATACTGCAGTTCGGAGGGTATTTTTCTCGGCGAGGTCTTCTTTGGAGTACAGTAAGTTAATTAAAGAGTTTGCCGTGGCTAGCAACATCTCAGTATTGAAAAATAACATCAATAAGTTCTATGTTTAGCGGGTTGTTTTCAAACATCATGCTCTACATTACTCTGGAGGTTGGTCACACTTCAATTCTTCTAGTTCTCTTATTTCCTCCTTATACTTACTATTTACTTTTGTTTTCTTCTTTTTTTTTGTTGCCTGTAGCTATGTTCGTTATCAGTTCGCTACCATCATTCATGGTTTTTATCACGCTCAGTTTCAGTTTAATTATTTTATTCATGTACGCAAGGTACATGTTCTAATGGATAAATAAATAAATTCCGCGCCGCGTCTTCAGAGGCAAAACTCAACAAAGGCCTACTAAAAATGTATCAATTCTCTCACGAATGTCGTGATTTTACGAAATGCCATGATACAAAAAAATCCAGCTCGAGGTGAAAGAATCACATCTTTCGTACGCATCATCTTCGTGTTTTTGACTAGGTAACCGCTTACTCTCCCCCTCTTCTAACATTATCAATGCCATGGTACTTATGCTATCCAACAGTTCACAGTTGACCGCTGCTCTTACGAGCTCTGTTGGCGAATGCTTTTATCGAAAAATTTTAACCTTTAATGCCCGCAGAACCGGAAGTGGATTTCTTTTGAGGATGTCTCCGGATATCCTTTCTATTCCATTCCAAGTTTTCTATATCGTTATACCTACTATAAGTCTGATTGGTAACTCAGCCATTGTGTACGTAAGCGTACGTTCCAGGTATGTTATCATCCAAAATTTCAATTTTTGCTTGGTAATAAAATTCTGATTTTCTAACGGACTTGCAATTTTTCTCAATAGATCAACAAGGTTTTCGATGAGAGGTTCTCTTCTCTCTTTTTAAGCTCATTGCGAAGCCCATGCAACATACTCATCGGATTGATATCATTGGGTGAAGCTTGGCATATGCTCGGACACTATGTGATGGTTGCATCCCATAATATGTGAGTGTCTTAAAACTTTATAGATATCCATCATACTAGCAACAAAATTTTTTGAAATAATTTGACTTTCAGAATTGAAAACCATCTAGTGAGACAAGACTACTGTGTTTATTGGCAAGTGCTTCCAACAATGAGCATGTGTTTCTCTTCTATACTGCTTCTCAGCGTTGCTGCCGATCGATTGATTGCTACACAGAATTTTTAGTACGAACTTGCAAAAACTTTGCTTTGAATGAAATCTTGGGAAGGAAAAAAAANAAAAAAAACTTATTGAACCTATAATTTTTTCTTCCTTTCCTATGCAGCCCTCACTTGATGCAACCCCTCGCATAGTAAGCTCTCCATCGTGATACTACGCTTCTTCTGGCCAACATTTGCGCAGCCACGAAACAATCGTGGATTGCTCCTGAGAAAATTCCACTGGGGATGGAATTAGTAGTAATGCGCCGCAGTTTGAGGTCGGACGAAATGCATGTTTGGCAATAGCATACGGTTCTGAAGACCATCACTGGACTATTATCGCAGGGGCGAGGAGGCTCTGGAGATTCCTAATTATCTAGGAACCTGTCAGTAGATTGAGAATATACTTTGATACACTTTTCCTATTAGGGTACCCATTAAAGTTCATTGGAAATTTGTAAACAACGTCGTGTTACGCAACGCGTTGTGATTTTGCATAATGATTTCGCAATACTGAAAGTATTCGCGATGGGCTATCTTCTGAGCTAGCGAGCTCTGAATTTCCTTTCCTGCTCTCCCCACAATAAAGCAGTGAAAGTGAGTGATAGTCACCACCACCGCCGATGTTTGCTGGACTACAACCTGGGCGACTCCATACTTCAAGCCACGACCAGCATGCGTAAGCAGTTTGGTGATAACGCCCCTTCTGAGAACTGGTTGTCAAAATGGTGGACTCGCTTAACCAATGGGAACTAAAAAGGGTGCGACAATTAGGATATACCAGTCACAGCAGTGTGGAGGAGGGAAACCAAGGTCAGTGACGAAAACCACAGGAGTGTCGAGACAAGCGCAGGACTATGAGAAGGCTAGGATTGCACTGTGATATCCGGGTTATGCTTCAACTCATGTAAACCGGAAAAAGAGTTGTTTTCGGATCATACTTTGAAAATGAGGGTTCATAGTACGTATCGTATCCCGGTGGATAGCAATCGTCGTTTCCGACCCCTCGTACACTTGATCTCGTCAGCTTTTGGATAATGCAGGATTACCTGCACAGTTTAGAGATATTCGCAAGGGAAACTTGTAAATTCTATCTGGAAAGCAGGGATCAGTGGAATTTTATACTCGCCCCTGCTTGCCTAGTTGTCCTACTGCTTCTGCTGAACCTTTTCGTGGGTCTTGTGGAAAGTAACCTGATTTTTGTTGCTGTCTACTAAATTTGAGCCTATCTGATACCTGATCTCAAGCTTAATTCAGCCTGCTTATTCCCAAATTCGAACTCAAGCAAATTTGCATTTTAGCAACTCATTCATCAAAACTCGGCATACTCTCTATATTTCCATTCATATCACCATTGGACTAATCTTCGCTCTGTCCACACAGGCAGGAGTATTTTTTGGATTGTTCTTGAACTTCACGGAGGACTTGTAAGTCAAAAGTTTTAATAATTTCGATACCCATTGTTTACATATTGTTTTGCATTGTGTGTTTATATATTGTTTTGCATTGTTTATAAAGCAAGTTGACCCTTCCTAGCATTACAGTAGATTGGTGAATAAATGTAGAGGGTAAAGTGTTGTCGGGAAAATTGCTAACCGGATCCTTAACTGTATACAAAATCTCAAGGATGGCGTTACGGCGATAGTATTGCACCAAGAAGCGACCACGTGTAGCGACCAGCTTCCGGCACCGCAACAGGGATATCGCCTTCTGCATTCATTGTGCTCAAGAATAACATGGAAACGGTTGAGGAAAATTAACTACCAAGGCAGACACCCCTACATCCCCATGATCTTGATTCATTATAGTCGTTGTGGCATCAAGCTCGAGAGGATTGTGATATAGCGTTCTGGGATCCCGAACCCGTTGAACCCATAAAGATAAACACATTGCATTGACATCCAGTGGCTACCCATAGGATAAAGAAAACCCATAGTATAAAGAATTAATACAACAGGTACGATTCTGAATGGAATACGCCTGGCTGGAATGAATTTATTCATGCATGTAGCACCTATTTATTCTACAATTGAATATTATAAAAAATTTTAGATATGTTCTATGTGTCATATCAGCACCTATTTATTCTACAATTGGCACGACGTTTGTCGGGATCATGTATTCCATTAACATCCTTATACTTGTGTGCTATGCAGCGCAAGCGATTTTGCTGAGAAAAACGCGATTAGGTGTGTTCTGGGTAAACGTATAGTTCATTGTTTCTGAGTAAACGTACTTTCATCGTTTTCTGGAGCAATGATTTAACCTGTTTAAAAAGTTCACTGATGATTTTATACTATGGAATTTTTAAGGTCAAGACAATTCAAAACAAATCCACAGATCACTTCTCGTCATAAGCCTGACAACAGTCTTCGGCTGGTTCAGTGCCACGATCTATAATGCCTTCAACATTATTTTAACCTCGAATGGTAACAAACTGCATGCCGCCTTGGTCGGAGGGCTGTTTGTGAATCTCTCATGTGCCTTAAACTTTTTCGTTTACTATTTTATCAGGTTGGTTATTCTCATTCAACTGTCCTTACCTCAACTCCCTTTTAGAAAGCTGGCTATCCAGGGCCTTATCTCCTTAACTTTCTAGCAGAGCTCAAATACGAATAATCCATATGGTCAAAAATGAGAGAAAACAAAGTCGCCAGGCTATCTGTTATAGTTAACCCTATGCATTATTCAAATTTGAGCGTTTGCCAAGTTATATGCTATGATTTACTGTATTTTCCAGTCAATCGTAAACCGAAATGCATTCCATTTGTTCGAGATCTATTGAATCCCGCACGCCAAAAAGTGAAAGATTTGATTATAAACCTATGATAGCTCTCTGAGAGCTTGTTTTCAAAGCAGACATTAGTAAAATATGCTTTATAACTTAATCCAAAAGAATACATTAGTTAACCACCTTCCATTTTTCGAGAATAAATTAATCGGCCTAACTATTCACATTTTTAGCACCATCTATCGACGTGAATTCGACAAATATCTCATGATTGGATCCATCAAGAAAGCAATGGGATTCAAAGTCCGTCCAAGTGCCCATGAATGGGCTGCAGCTCGTTTACCATAGTCATTTTTGGCCGAACACCGCCTACACTTCTCAACTCATTGGTGGTTACTGAAATCTTTCCAACAGAAGGGGGAAGGTTGAAGAGAAATTATTGAAAAAAAAATGTTGAGCAAAGAATAAATCGTTTAAAATTGCGCATTTTCAAACCTTCGATTGAGAAGCACTTCCATCTTAAGCTTTACCCTCTTGATTGTTGTGGTACTCTGTTTAGAAGGCTCGAGAATAATTTGATTGCTCAGCTATCGTCGAGTTCAATACCCACTGAAGAAATTTTCTCAGTTACGGTTGGGGCCACTCAGCTCCCAGTTTCTAGCTTTGCGTTCTTGTCTGAGCGATTTCATATAGAAGAAATGCGCATAACTTACAGCTTCACATGACAACAATAAAAAAATTTTCGTAAAAATCGTCATACACATTACTCAACATTACAATGATTCTGAATACTCATCATTGTTGAGCATAAACCTCTTTGAAAATAGAAAAGATTACATAGAAGACGAGATTCCATCCCGAATTTAATCAAACATGAGGGTGTTGTAGAGCAACAAGGGATTGCCTAACTGCTAAGTATTACAGTGTTTTGTGGAAGGGGATAAACATTCCAACTGGAATAATGTTTATGCGAAAAATTCGGTCTTGCTGTCCCGACAAACTTGTCGCCGATTACTGTATCAACCAAAACCATAAGAAATGGTGAATCACAGACTTTGGTTTGAAAATTGAAAAATCAAAAAGGTATGTTCAGTCTACCTGCGACTTTCCAATCGGGTCCTATCAGTAAAAAAATTATGTAGTGTCTGGAGGCTTGAAGCGCTACTGCTTCCTGCCTACTAATTAGTAGTGTTCAAGAAATCAACAGGCTCTTCAATTTTCCCTTATCTCGTGAAAATTACTAGTTACAGATTAATGGATATCAGTATTCATAACAAAACTGTTGCTTTCAGCACTAATAAATAGTCTTTGAGGGAGAACTTAGTGTGCGTTCAAAGCAGATATTTCCGACAATAGCTCCGTTTTCTCATTGACACGATGCTATCGATCAAGAAATACGATTCAATTGAAATAGGACAACTGGCACTTCATCTGCTTTCCGAGTATTGATTGGGCTTTCTTTACTTCACTTCATCCCAATCCCAGTTCCTTCTCCCAAAATAGAATAAAAACTAGGAATTGAGATTTCGATGCTGCAACTGAAAGAATTGTTCTTCGAGGGAATCCCTCAGTCTATATTCCCGTAACTCGATTCATACTACGGCAGGAGTATAATGAATTAAGGGAACATAAACTGAGGGATTCGTAACAAAAAAAAAGCTACCGTAATTGGGTACTACAGCAAAATGACAGCAGTAAACAAGACACCAATTAGAACCTCCTGTAATTACTCTTTAACGTTTTATGATCCTCCAACGTTTTTTACAGTATCCTTAAAAGATTATGTCGCTATAATTAGCAACCTAGCTATGAACGCTCTTGGGTAATTGTACATACTTATGTAGACATGGCAATGCATTGTCTTGCCTTTGAAGAGGGGGAAGTGATCACTTACACCTCCGTTTTGGCTGAAGGACACCTTCATTTCTTGAGTAAAGATCTTTCTGTGACTGACTTCATGAATTCAACAAGTCGTTTCGGTGCCGAAACGTAGAACACCAATCACAAACAGCGCCCACTTGAAAGGTTCCCTGAGAAAAGTCGCTCGAGTTGTACATTAATTAAGTAGCGGGTTTGACGAGTAGAAAGGAACAAAAAAGTTTCCAAAACATGACTGGAATGTCGGTTATGGGTTCCCGACAATCACGATGCTCTGTGTGGAATGAATGACGTCTTTACTTCGCAGTACTTTACCTCGTGAATAAAGGATTTTCGAGGCATTTGCTAACATTCCGAAGGACCTGTAAATGTACGAAAGAATTCCATGAGTAGAGAAATCCTAATTATTTCTTTTTCTATAGTAGCCCTGCCTCTGAATTTGGAAGTGTTAAATCTCCCCACAATTTTTATATTACATCTTGTATTGTGCTAGGCAATCGGCAATCATTACTGACAGTTGTGTCAGTGACTGTTCCTGAGAAACTCGACCTGTAATGTTTCTGAAGCGCAATCGTTTTCTTTCAGGATGTTCGAAGATGTTCTACCTGAATTTTACCAGATTTTTTACATAGCAATACCGACTATCAGCTTTATCGGGAACGCATTCATCGTGTACGTAACGGTGCGCTCAAGGTCAGTGAGCCCATCTGCACTTGAAGATACTCTTCATAGTTTCCTTCTTTTCTTAGCAGTCTTCTGACATATATGCATTATAGGGCTTTTGTGTTTTTTTTTTNTTTTTTTTTCATTTCAAGTTTGATTCTTGCTTTTAAGATCCTTAAGAAGCCCATGCAACATACTCATTGGGACAATGTCCGTTGGCGAGCTTTTGCACATGCTCGGCCACTATGTCATGGTTGGATCCCATAAAATGTGAGTCGAGGTAACCTCACTTTGAATGCACACAATAAAATGAATGCCTGTTTCTAGCAAATTAACTTTTACAAGCTACATGATTAGCATTCTCACCTTAATCTGGCAAGCTTTCCCTACCCTTTTTGCAAATCCATTTTTACTTTAATCATGCATGGGATGACGTGGGATTCTGGATAGCTGTGAAGCTCTGCCTGATAGATGTGAAGAAGCTAGAAAAATTTGAAATTCTACAGGTTCTGGTGCTAGAACTCGTCATCATTAGTTCGTAATAGCAGATCTAAACCTTTTTTCAGGATTGACACCCATCTGATGAGACAAGACCTATGTGTCTATTGGCAACTGCTTCCAACAGTGGGCATGTTGTTCTCTTCTATTTTGCTCGTCAATGTCGCTATCGATCGACTGGCATCTACGCAGAACTTCTAGTACGGACTTTGACATTTTTGGAATTCTTACCGAAAGAAACAGCTGGGGGAAGGAATCAGAACCACACTATAAAAAAAATACTCTCTGCTTGGCGCATCTGCAATGGACATGTTCAGTTGTCTCTTCCCTGTGCGACTCATAATAATACTTTTAACTAGCCTGCAGCTTTTCTGATTTTGTTTATCAGAACCATGAATCACATACTACAAACCATTTGGTTGGGTCTAGTGGGAGACTTGCAATGTCGAAGAGATGCTGTTCTGGCTTTTCCTCTCATGCCCAGTGCGCGCTCAAGCATGAGAAACTTGCAAACTTCTCCGGTTAATCTTGAAAGCGTTGGGTCTACTTCGACTCGCAGCATTTCTCCCCTTTGTTTATGTATACATCACCCAAAATGCTTATATCGATATTGCTTTAGTAATTCAATCATCAACAATCATAATGTTTTCTATACCTCCGCTCATGTTGCTTTTGGACTGTCTATCTCTCTCAGCATGGAAGCATGGATATTTGAAAGCCGTACGTCAGAATTGTAAGTCCAAAACTCAAAAAAGTGTGACGTGTACAATATTGTTGGATACACAGCAGCAAATGTTTACGATAGGAAAACAGTAAGTGTGAATAACACTGGGCTCAAATTCATAAGTTTGGCGATTTGTGGGCAAAACTTTGGCCTCAGCTCCTCCTTTCCGTGTCGAAATTTCCTGTCGTCTACGTCCCCTCCAAATTTGGTACATTAAAACAGGAGATATAAATTTCCACCCAAGCACTACACACACCGCTGACACAGAGGATCTCGCATGTCATGAGCGGGGTCATGCTTAACTCTCGTGTGTCTAAGTAAGTTGGGTCATTTCCCACTTTTTTTCAACTTAACTGCGCAAAATCACTCAGATTGAGCTGAGCCTCCTACGCCCTCCGCGGGCGGGATCTAGCACAAACACAATCTAACACCTATCATCACTGAACTAATCTAGCCGCCTGTACTCTTACCAAATTTGAACGCTTTAGTCCAATTAACAATTTCGCGTGCACCTCGTCCCTTGTAAAGAGAGTTCAGTCCTGCTATCTATCATCAAAATTCTCGCACTGTTCCCTGTCTCTACCAATTTCAAACCTTTGAGGTCCGCGGGAACAGGATTTATGAATTCTCAATCGAACACACGCGCACACAAACAGACAAATCAACAGACACACTTAGCACATTATATCGGTAGGATGTTTCATCAGCACTCACACGTACAACGTGATGGGCCGGTCAGAAAATATCAGCATTGAACCGTTAAGCTGTAAGACTTTTACTCGATGTAATTTGTTTCGATTTGATGCTTTGCTAATTGCTCAAATGATGTATGTATATGTGTGAGTGTCGATAAGTTATATGTAGCATATACGCCATTAAAAAGACGAAGGCAAGCTGTATATTAATGAAGAGCATGGTACCCGGAAAGCACAAGTACGGCTTCAAGATCAGTCCGGAGCTGAAGTTTTGGTCACAAATCGCCAACCTTGTGAGGCTTTCGCATCGCGTGCTGCAACGAAATAACAGCACTTAACAAAATATCAAGCCAAACTCGATCAAGTGTTGTGCCAGTACTTACCTGCTTGATTCGCGGTAGTTGGGCACTCTTTCAATAGGAGCTATTTTCCTTTTTTGAGGGGGATACAAACACTATTTAGAGGTATCGTCATGAGGTAGGTAGAATATTAATGAAGATGGACCTACTATAGGGATTGCATGATCGCAAGAAAAAGAATAGAACTTCAGCATTTAAATTCATATATTTCTTTATACTACATTAGATTACAGATTCGTGCTGTGTGTTATAACAGCACCATTTTATGGTATGATTTTCACAGCATTTGTCAACCTTATGACTACGATCAGCATTCTTATACCTGCTTGCTATGTACTACTCACCATTCTACTGAGAAAAAATCGAATAAGTATGTACCAGTTTTTCCTTGTCATGTTATTAACCGTTTGACACCAATTCTTCGACCAAATCAGTTTCTAAAAAATGATCGAGAGGCTAGGCCAAATTTGCAGCCTTAAGTGATCACTAGTTCTACAATGACCAGCCATAATATGTTATAGTTTTTATGATAACAAATTTTCACCACGAAATTAAGATCAAGACAGCTCGAGGCAAATCCACAGGTCTCTTGTCATCATCAGCTTGACAACAGTTTTTGGTTGGTCCAGTCCCGCACTGTTCCATGCCTTCGACACTATCTTCGAAATGGGTGTTGGCGAACTACATGTCGCGTTATTTGCCGGAATTTTCGTGAATATTGCAAGTGCAGCCAATTTTTTTGTCTACTATTCTATCAGGTTAGCAGTTTGAGTCGCTATTTTCATTCTAGTTGATCAACTTTTAAGCTGCTTGTTCTTTCAACAGTGCCAAATTACAATTCACAGTATGCAAAGTCGTCGAAAAGAACTCACTCTTATCAAGGAGAACTCAGCAAGAATCACCATTGAGACTTTTTAAGAGCTTTTTAAAATTTTTGCTTCGCAGAAATTCGCCGCATATCAGCGTAAGTATGAGTTTGTGGACACAACGATGTCTAGACACGTGTTAGTATTTTACATCAGTCTCTATAGGTGTGCAGCTGGAGTAGCTATACTATGATGAACAAAAAATGTGCCATTTGCATGTACTCTGCCAGGATTTCATTACAAAAAGCAGTTCTAATAACACTATGCTAAGAACTGCGATGAAAACCACGTGCCAGAGTTAGAAGCAACTTAAATCAACCAGATTAGATTGCTAATCTGGTTGATTTAAGTTCTTAAATCTGAGTTGTAATAATGATTAATCAATTCCCAAGTCGCAAAAGAAACGTGCTAATCCGGCGATAGCAAGCTGATTACAGGTGACTTATTCCTTCATTAGGTTCAGAGAGTCAAACCCGAACAGCGCATAAGCCGAGCTCTCCATCTTACACAATGACAGAACCAGTCAATTGGTGTTGAGCTCGTATGAGATGATGAATACACTTAAGTTTTCGAATAGGAATAAATACCAACACCCATTCGATACCAGTTTCTACTTTTATTATTTTCAGCACTGTGTACCGTCGTGAATTCGACAAATATCTCTTGGTTGGATATTTGAAAAGAGCACTGAACTTGAAGCACAATTCGAGCTCCTGGGCTACATCACGTCATCGACGAAGCATTCAACATGACTAGCCTTTTATTTAATCAAATATTCATGAATAAATCCATGTATTAGTTTATTTCACAGCGACATGGCGGTATTCGACAATTATACTATAGGGCGCCACAGGGTTTTTGTTACTCCTAATTCAATGAGATTTCAAGCGAAGACATGAATGCAATATTTACGCATACTCCTTGATGTTGTTTCCACTATTGAAAAGGAAATCAGGAAATAGTCTCGATGGCTGTGATGCTACAGGACAATAGCTAAAAAGTTAGGCTACGCAGAGAACTTTTCGATCACAGAACTTTGCGTGCTTTACAAGTTGGGCACAATGTCTCGTCGACGCTCATAAGGCTAGGAAAAATGTTACAAAGTCCTTTTTGAATGTGATTTTTAAGCACCATGAAGTCATAAGTTACTAATCAATATGCCCTCGATTTACTGCGTATCTCCTTAGAACTTCTCAGAGTTATCCTACGATTGCAAGTTGAAAAACATTTGAGCTGTTCGGGCGGCAGCGTCGCAGCAATCATCGTTCCATCCCATCACGTTTCAGAGATCCATCTTTCTTCTAGCGGGCGATAGGCGATGGGTTCTATGGTCACTGTGACCACAATTCAACCAACTTTGACAAGAAGTAGCAAACGTGACATGGTGAGCCGCGACGAACACGCGAGCCGACAAGCGAAGGCTCGTCTTCAAATCGAACGAAGGACGGCAACGTAAGTGTTGACAACACAAATACACTATGACACAGGGCTAAAGCCAGCGTGGCAAGTCGATCCTCAACGGGGCGCATTCAAACGAGAAGGCGGCTCTGCGCACCAAAGGTTCCGTGGTCAATGCGATCACGTGATTGAATCATGAAATCTACTGAAATCTGCTAAGTTTCACAAGATTGGCGAGTTATAGGCAAAACTTTGGCCTGATACGAGACTCGTGCTCTTGTGCTTTCTGAGCACCGTGCTCTTTGGTTTTTTCATATGTGGGACCTTGGCGGGAAGTACGTGGGCCCTGTGTTATTACCACACTTGCCACTTTCGAAGTGTTTTTGCATATATGAAACAAATTGCTATTCGGTGCAGGTGTTGTGCTTCACTTGAGTAAAAAAATGAAGCCAGTGAGGCAACGGATCATTGTCTTCACGCTATCGTTCAAATTTTTCAATCCCTCAAAATGATTACTACTTGGGAATCTATACGTTAGTCATGTACGTAATGGATATTTCTGAGATATTGGTATTGTGATTTTTAGAAATGATATGACATAATTCGTTTACTATAGAAACCCTCACTTGCAGAATTGAAAGCCCTGAAAGCCATGTACTGAGTCAAATTCCCCGTTTAATAAAGTGGTCCCAGNAAGCAGCATTTGTCCCTCCATTGTTTCTACCTTTCAGACTTCTTAACGACGCTGCCGATAATTAATTTTAAGGCAGAAGCTTCAGAATGAACGTGAAGGTCTTCATATTGTAAGTAAAGATGTTAAATGACGTTTACCGGGTGCCTATGAAAAAAGGGATCTTTCCGTTTAATAACATAGTCTAGCTGAGTCTCATTATAAATCTATAATAATTTTCAGGAAGGCGTATCACAGTGCATTTGACGTACACTTCATGGGAATGCTCAAAAAAACAAATTTTTCTTACCACTTCACGGGCTCTCTTTTTCAAGCATTCTAGAAGAACACCCCAAATAACCGCTGCTCACATTCCGAACTATTTGTAAATTTGTAAATATAAAAGCTTCTACGAAATCCTTCGACCCAGGAATGTTGGAAAGAAGCAGTTATATTGTGAAACATAGAGTGAAAATGACCATTTAACCG